AGCTGAAGAGCTGAGGGACAGCGCCCAGGCCCAGAGTTCAAGCCCCACGACCGACAAAAAAAAAAAAAAAAGTCCACTTTCTTCTCCTTGCTCTGTAAAGGAGGCATTATTACAGATATGCTGTACCAGGGTTTTAATTCAGTGGCTTGCTTGCTTAGCTAGTTTTAATGATTCCAGCCCAGCCTTTTGCTGGTTATTTTGGAGATGGAATATCTTGGACTTACTTGCCTGGAGTTAGCCTCAAACTGAGATCCTTTAGATCTCAGCTTCTTGAGTAGCTAAGATTACAGGGTGTGAACCACCAGTGCTCTGCCACTGGTGTATATATGTGTATATATACACATGTGTATATATACATATATACACATATATATGAATAAATGACTTAAAACATCACCTTGACCTCAGGATACCTACAAAAATTAGCAATAATTTCTTGCTACAGCCCCTACCATGTTCAGACGTTCTCCATCTTTTCAATGGGGCTTTCTAAGATTGTTTTGCAAGGACTAGGATCTAAACATCATCTCCCATTGCATTAGTTTAATAATCAGTCTCCCACATCTCTTTTATTCTTCAGCAGACCTGTTGTGTGTATAAGCTGTTTGTTGGAAAAACTGGCTCAATTGTCTATAGAATTTTGCTGATTGCTTCCTGTATAACTTGTTCCTCCATCCCCTATATTTTCTGTAACCTAGGAGTCAGATATAATGCTTGGTAATTGAGAATTCATATATATATATATATATATATATATATATATACTAAATATGTGTATATATATGTATTTAGTATTAGAGGTTGAACTCAGGACCTTGTGAGGCAAGCACTCTACCTCTTGAGCCACATTGTCAGCCCTTTGTGCTTTTATTAATTTTTTGATCTAGGGTTTTACATTTATGCCTGGACCAGCCTAAACTATGATCCTCCCCCCCCCCCCATCTTTGGTCATGGAGTTTGAACTCAAGACCTGGGCACTGTCCCTGAGTTCTTTTGCTCAAGTTTAGCACTCTACTAGTTTGAGCAACAGCTCCACTTCCAGTTTTCTGGTGGTTAATTGGAAATAAGAGTCTCATGGTGTTTACTGCCCAGGCTGGCTTTGAATTATGATCCTCAGATCTCAGCCTCCTGAGTAGCTAAGATTACAGGAATGAGTCACTAGTGCTAGGCTGGACTATGATCTTCCTATTTGTGTTTCCTGGATAGCTGAGGTGATGGGCATGTCCCACTGTACCTCGCTCTTTGTTAGTTGAGATGGGGTCTTGCAAACTTCTTGCTTGAGTTGGCCTCTAGTTGCCTGACCTCAGCCTTCTGTGTAGTAAGTTATCTATAGTCATGAGCCCACTGTACCTGATTATGCATAGCTTGGTACTGCTGTGTATTCAAATTGCACTGGTCACATCAGAAGGTGCATACTTGTGTTTGTCCAGGGTTTGACTTTTTTCTGCTGTACTGGTGATCAGTCCTGGGAGCTGGAAAGACTTGCTTTGGGGCATGAGGTCCCAGAGGTTATCAGGTCAACAGCTTGGAGACAGGGTCCTATCATAAGGAGCAGTGCAGCATGTCAGGTTCAGATCCAATGGTAAAGGATAGCAGTCCACAGTAGTAAATACAGTCATGCAATTGAATATTTTTGTAGGAAGAGAAGGAGAACAATGAAGGTCCCCAAAGATAGCTAGATGAATTTGGAGGGGCTGAAACTTTGCTTGGATGGTATGTCTTTTTGGTAAAGGCTTGAGCCTGATGTTTTGGTAAGATTCCACTGGGAATTTCCACGTCAATGCACATTCTCTAAAAGCAAGAAACACTTGTGTGCAATAAATAGGATCATGAAACTGCAGTAGAGAAAGAGGCCACCGGTTTGAAAGCTTTGTCCTAGGCATGGAAAGGCAATTCAATACCGATTATTTTAACCTGTGGGGAGCTGATTGCTTAGAAAAGATGTGATTTTCTCGAGGAGATTTTGGCCAGATCTGCTTTTGTACAGCAAATGGCGAATCTTGTTTTTTCCAAGTGACTGGCTCACTGTTGGAAGTTAACGATGCCCTCCCATGATGGCCTTTGAGTCTGGAGCAATGCTGGTAGCCAGCCGTTCCCCTTTCCAATGAGAGCTGGGTGGGAGAGTTCAGGGAGGACAGTTCAGCCAGGGCCACTGGAAAAGTTTATTCTAGAGTAAATAGGAGAGGAGGAAGGTCCAGGCGAGGAACAGCCATTAAATTGGGTTAACAGAAATCTTAGCTTTTATACTTTCCTATCTACAGACTCAGGACTGAGAAATGATTGCTGCTGTTTTCTTTCTTAGCTTCTGAGAGGTAGAGGACTGATGTGTTCTAAGGGAGAAATGTGGTCTTTGGACCACACTGATGTGGACTGGGCCAAGGCCAAAGTCCCATAGGATGTGGCAGGAAGGGATAAGTAAGGTCCTGGGGCCTTGTGCTCCCCGAAGATCATCACAGACTGTTTGAGCCATGGCTTTCTCTTTATCAGATGGTAAGTCACCAAGGACTCCAAGATGGCCTCCTAGGGGTGAAGCTCTGAGTTAGAGTAGTCTTCACTGAGAGCAGGTTCTGTCCCTAGTGTCCCTCAGATCAGGCAGGTCACCTCAGAGGTTTTGGGATGGTTGTCCAATATGGAGCTTCTCTCTTAAGCTTCTGTTTTAAAAATTTGAGGAGCTAGGGAGCCCCTGGGTGGGCCTGCTAGATTCTACTTCCTGCAGGTTTTCATTTTGTACTTGGATAATGGTGGGGTTAGGGGAGGCAGGGGTGTCTTTTGTCTAACTTGGAGGTAAGCCTGCTTTCTAGGTGGGCACTTTCTTTTTCTTTCTCCTTTCCTTTTCTTTCTTTTCCCCTTCCTTCCTCCTTCCTTCTCTTCCTTTTCTCCCCTCCCTCCCACCCTCCCTTTTTTCTTTCTCTGTTTTTCTTGCTTTCTCTTTCTTTTCTCCTTTCCTTCCTTTTTGTTCCTCCCTCCTTCCCGCTCTCCTTCCCCCTCTCCCTTCCTCTCTCCCTTCCTCTCTTCTTTCCTCCCACTTCTTTCTTTTTCTTTCTGTGCCAGTCCTGGGGGGCTTGAACTTAGATCCTGGGCACTATCCCTGAGCTTTTATGCTCAAGGTTGGTGCTCTACCATTTGAACATAGCTCTTCCTCTGGCTTTTTGGTGGTTTATTGGAGATAAGAGTCTCACAGACTTTCCTGCCAGTCTGGCTTTGAACTGTGATCCTTAGATCTCAGCCTCCTGAATAGTAGGATTATAAGTGTGGGCCACTGGCACCGTGGCCCTTTTGTCTTTTTAAGTTCTTGCACTGTCACCCTTACCCCCCAAATCCTAGTGGTTTCTGTGGGCTTAAGGACACTGTGATGACATCACTGTGCCTTGATCCTCCCCAGCATGACCCCACAGAACAAGTCCAGTGCCTCCTGACTCCTGACCCTTCTGTCTTGCTGTCATGAGAGAGGGTAGCAAGATAATGGAGGCTGAGGAGGAGGAGAACCTCGTAGGAAGGAGACAGATTAGTATTATTGTATTTTTTTCTTTTCAATTTCATGCTTCAGATTTCCAGTGCCTTTCTAAATAGTGTGGGGGAGAAAGTGACATATCTCACCTCCTTTTCCTGGTGATGGAAAGTCACAGCATTCGTCTTGGCAGAAGAGCCCTGTGCATTCCCTTTGCTCTGCTGGGAACCTGTGGTGTACCCTTGAGGTCTGCCCACAGTCTGCCCAGAATGGCCACTTCCACCACATCCTTTCTCTGTTCTTTGTTTCCTCTCTCCACGTTTGTACTCAGGCTACATGGGTGATTCATCACTGGCCTCTGTTTTCTCAGCCTAGAAAGACTGCCTCCTTCCTGCCCTGCCTTGCAGGCCTGGGCCTGCTGTACAGAGCAGCCAGGGTCTCCTCTTTTGGGCACATGTATCTCTTCTTGTTTGGGCATCCTTTCCTGTTCTTAAAAGAAGTGGGGAGGTGCATGTAAATTGATGAGTAGAAAGACAAGAAAGACTAGAGATTCAGATACCACCATCCAGTGTCAGCCCATTGAAGTCACATGGTGTGCAGTTGTCCCAAGTGAATTCATCTAACCTGACTGGCTCCACATATCAGCCATTCACACATCCATCCATCCATTCGTCCCTCCATCCATTCATTCACACATCCATCCATTCATCCATCCATCCATCCATCCATTCATTCATTCACACATCCATCCATCCATTCAGCATTTGTAGAGAATTGTTCTCTTGCAGGCACTGTGTCCAGTGCTAGGTAGTTGAGGAGGGAAAGGAGAGCTTCTGTTTTATAGGATATTTTGATCAAAAGGACAGGTATATGAACTGCACTGATGGTCACAGTTGAGCTGTTTTACTTAACTCATTATTTATTCATTTATTTCCTTAAGTAATTGTTTCCATTTAACATGTCAGTTTATGAGTACCATGCATCTTGATCAGTGTCATCCCTTTTATCATTTCCT